TTGAATTATTCTGTTCTTAGTGCTTGATCAAAATTTTATCTGGTGTTTTTCTGCTTCTTGATGAGGATGAATCTGGGGCTAAGCTTCCTTTGATCAAGAGATGAAGCGGGCGTCCTCTTGATCTTCCAAGTTGTTTAAACGCTCTACCCAATGGGAGGCTGACCTCGAAGCTGATGTTACATAGTACAGACGAACTGGAACTCAATCACCTCAGAACGTCAGGTGTGATCTCAATGACGTGAGAGGAGGAAAGGCTCAAAAAGGATTTGCCATATAAAGAAAAATGAATCATCCTCTATCGTTACAATAACCTGCGCCAGTATTTGTTTTGCATACAAAAATTACGCAACCTGCCACGAAGTTGAATGTCGTTAAGGTACAAAACAATATAAAAAAGCCTATGATGATGACACATGTGCTTCTATTGCATGGGAGTGAGAAATGGGATGAAACATAAACGCAAACACCAGGAAGAATCTGCTTCTGAGAGTGGGTGTCCCTGTTAGCGTGTGTACTCAAACAGGGGGAGGATTAAAAATGGATGTGCCTTAAAATGGGAACAATGGTGTGCTATTTTGTCAGAACAAGTGCAGTGACACAAACCTTGCTGCAAAAGCGAGCATTGGATTGTGTGGGTGTGTGTGTGTGTGTGTGTGTGGGTGTGTGTGGGTGTGTGTGTGTGTGTGTCTGTGTGTGTGTGTTGGGGGGGTTGTTTTGAGGATAATGCATCTCAGGTAACCTTAATGGAGGAGCGGGAGGTGCTGCATTCTGCCAGTGAGTGGGCTGCAGTGGGTTCTCATGATGGCAACAACACACCACAACAATAGCAATAGCACGCAGCTCATAAAAGCCTCTCACGGACTGCAGCCAGTGGAGAGAGAGTGTGCCGGGTATCGATCTCCTGTATTTGAGGCCAGGGTCTCACAGCAGCTGCTAATAATTCTTCAAGTACAAGATGGCTGCAAGTTACAGCATCAGCACATCTCCTACACTGTCTGAAAGGATCAGAGGTGGAACTGAAAATTAACTTTGAAATGAATAAGGAGGTTGTTTGAGGTTGGAATTTCTGTTTGTTTATTTGTCGGCACGATTACACAGAAAGCAATGGAACCAATTTGCACCAAACATGGTGGAGGGATGAGGCCAGGGAATAAACCATCACGTTGCAGTGCAGATACGATTAAAAAGATTCTAACACATTTTTATCCATTTCTCATGAAATAAAGTATAATTTATTCATGGTGTTGATTTATGAATTAGTACAATTTGACTCTTAGACTACTTTCAATTTTTCTAACAGACTTGGAGGTGTGCTGACTACTGAGTGCCTTTCTAAAACGGATTGTTTTGTTTTCATATCTGCATTTTGAAGAAATAAAACACACATGATTTGTCTCACTCTCAGATGTTTGGATCTTGTCCCCTGCAGTAAACAGTCGTCTTTTACTACAGCAAACAAAGATTTATTAAGCATTTAACATTTTCATTAACTGTGGAAGAAGTCGTGACTGGAATCATTTTAATTATCTCTGACAGATTTTCTCATTTTAACAACAAGGGTAACATAACTGTATTTAATGTAGCTGTGTTGATGAAGGCATGTCTTGTATAAATCAGGCCTATTTTATTTTCTATACATGTATACACGTTTTTGCGGCACAATGTAAGGCAAACTCCTCTCCTCCAGTCCAAAAAACCAATTAGATTATCTGAGTCCAGTTTATTTTAGTCACATTTAAGAGGGATCATTGATGGGATTCAGATTGTGAAAACATATTATTTAATTTGTTTGATTAAGATAATTTACAGTCATTATCATAATCATCAATTGACACACAGTGACTCACTAATGAAGACAATGGGGTGTTACACAATGGGTCGAAAATTATTGGTTTTACTGGCAGTGAAGACGCTTTTGGAACAAAACCAAAAACCAATATGGTGAAATTTAATTTAAGTTTCCTATTAGCATAAAGTGTCTTACATATCTTTGTGATACATTGTGAGGGGGGCTAAGTTGCCACTGGTGGTGTGAGGTCTAGTTCAATCTTCTACTCTGATCACTGTGATAAATTGCTTCAAAAATGGGCAAAATTAATCACAGTTTCCTTTATATTTTGCGTCCACTTTGCCAAAATGGCACCGCAGTGAAACTACAAATTCTGCGAAAGTGGATTTGAGACAGGAACACAGACTGACAAGCTTTTTAAGTAAAAAAAAACAGAGGAACTACCTCCTGCAGAGAAATACAGCCCAGCTACGCTATGGCCCTCACTCTGCCAGATCAAGCACAGTTTTGAGGAGAATCAGAAAGTAATAAGCCTGATTTTCTTATTTCTTGTGAATCCGAGTGTAGCTGGCATTGCTTTCTTTGAAAGAGCAGAGACACCCCTGCTGTGCTCTAACACTGCAGCAATTTGTATGTTTTTCTTCTTTTCCACACTATCAGACCACATCATGATATCTGGCTATGGTGCTTTGACACTCGGTAAATGGTACTTGCCTGATACACTTGAGGCCCATAAAACCCCTAACCTTTCCATCCTCCCTGTGCAACACTCCGTTCATCTGTCCCCCTCTCTGTCTCCCCCTCTTGAGGCTTCACCAGCCGCAGCTTCGCCCTTCAGGAGAGCTGAGGAAGAAGGAAGTAGGACAGGAGGAGGAGCAGTGTGTCTGCCAGCAGGTTGAGATGGGAGCATAGGGAGGCAGGAATACACTGACAGTGGCTGCATGTGGCGAGGAAGGACAGCGAGGAAAGGCACTGAAATGCTGCAGAGCAGGAAGAAAAGGAGGATGGGGGAGTATCACTGCTCATCTAGGAACAATGTCAATGACGAGCAGGCAGGAGACAGATGCATTGTGGAGAAAGACAGACGGCAGCGGAAGATACGCAGAGAGTGACGGATGTTTCTCTTACACCTCCACAAGCAGCCACATCCTAATACAAGCTAATCCCTCTATCAGCCTCTTACCTCACCTGGGCCAATATCTCTCTACCAGAAAATGGAAGACTGCTTTCCCGAGATCGTGCACTCAGTATTTCTCTTTGGCCAGACAGGCACAGTGGTGCCCGCCGCCCCACGCAGCTGAGTATTTGGTCAGCACTGTCACCGTCCTGTTCACACACACAGCTCCTGCTGACGTTTCCCTTTTTACCTGAGCAGCGTGTCATGAACTGAGTGCTGACGACTGATTCACTGGGTGTTCGGACGACTGAGCCAAGAAAAATATTGTGCTATGTCGGCAGTAGACATTTGAATGAAGGTTTGAACAGCTGCGTTTCCTAATATAATCTGAATGGGATTAATGGATGGTGAGTTCAATTAATAACAAATATTTTCACTATTGATTCATCTGCTGATTATTTTTTGGGGGGTAAATCAATTTTCTTTAGAAAAAGTCAGGAAAAAGACAGAGAACAGCAAATTATCAGAAGAGAAGCCAGTTGTTTTTGTTTAGTTTGTGAGTTTAATGGATTATCCGACTGTTCGTTTCAGCTCTAGTATTAATATTTTGTGTCAGAGGACAATTCACAAGCAATACAACTATCACTTGACCTTTCCCATAACTGTGTTTTATAAAGTCCAGTGTATTTTTCCTCCAAATACAATATCATATTTTGCTTGTGCATTTGTTTTGGTATTTGTTATATTATATGTCAGGGTTATATAGTAGCCTCCACAATGCAACGCTGCAAAACAAAAGGAAGCATATTGGTTTGTTTCATCTTTCAGAACGTCCTCAATCCAGGGCTGTAAATGATCATTATTATAAGTATTAAATAATCTGCTTAATATAATAATTGTTATCAATTAAATGTCAGAAAATGGGGAAAATTACTTTTTTTTTCAAATTTTTATCCAAATAACAGTTTTCAATCACAGATGAAGAAACCTGGAATATTTGACTTATTTGTAAATTAAATTGCATATATTTTTATGTAAAACTAAATTAATCATTATCAGGTGATCACTTGGTTCCCGATAATCATGTTTTTTTTCATCTATGAATTGACAAGTCCTTGCAGTTCAAACATCGAACTCTAAAACATCTGCGCTTTCAAATCATGCAGAGTCTGGCAAACTGACATTTCCTCTACGCACATGGTTCTGTGAAATATTTGTGAACACTCAAGCAGGCTGCTCATGAGATCTGATGCTTTAGCCCACCAGCACTAGATGAGAGGAGGATTCACACAATGTTAATGATGTTGAGGCTTTTGAAACCCGTCAGCTGCCTCAGATATAAATAAGAGATCAACTTCCCCCAATGTCTGTGATTCAGTAGGAGGATTTACAGCTCCTGTGATTCAGAGGACAAACATTCACAAAAATAAAGCAGCTTTTTCACTTAGCATGACCTTACAACCCTTCAGTCTATTCACAATATCCTGACAATCACCCAGACTGTACAGTGTTCAACATGAAGGAGAAAACTCCTCACCAAACTCCATTCGGATTTCTACGTCTTTTCACAAGTCCCGTTTCATATCATTAAATATAAGTCACAACCACGTTTTAGACGATGATATGTGTATTGTGATATTTACCATCCTGTTCGTCGGCCTCTAAACGCAGTTATATTCTGCCACTGAAATGAGGGCGTTTTAAACACGCAATTCAGCCTCTAATTAAAAAGATACACAATTTTCCAGGAGGAATGGAGATGTAGGTTAAACATCCCAGGGCACTGGCTCAGGGGAGGGGGGGGGGGGTGTACATAGACGGCAGCTGGCCACGGTGAATTGAAACCGATGAGTTATAAAACACCACCATCTGCAACGCGAGGAGAGGCTGAACACTGAACACATGAGATACACTGAAGAGTCCCTGTTTCCAACAAACACGAAGAAATGTACGAGGTGCGCACGTAAACAACGACCCAGCACCGAAGAGATGAACCAGGAAGGGAAGGGGGAGCTCGTTCCTCCCCGGCGATGCCCGTTATCATCCCTGCCTCCAACAACTTGATCCTATCCGAGCTTCTTCGGAAACTCTTACCTCCTCCGCGGTGCTCTGCCTCGCTGCTGTGCGGCTTCTCGCGCAAGTACAGGCGGCTATCGTCTCGGCGCGGCTCGGTAGTCGGGAGCGGGGTCGGTGGTGGTGCTGATGCGGAGCCGTGGCTTCCAGTCGCCCCTCTTCAGGGTTAGCTAGCCCCGCTGCCTCCGCTCGGCTGGTGGTGCTGAAGTGGACAGCGCACCGAGCAGCTCTGGAACAAAACACACAGCACACACTGCGGCTTGTCCCGCCCGCCTGCGGCACAGCGCCCTCTGTCGGGCCGGAGGAGCGTCCGAAGCGCAGCGTGGAGATCCGTGGAGTCAAAAAGCACTGGGAGAGCGCCACCTAGCGTGCCCCTTCCGCTGTTTTGTCTCAGTATGAAGGTGTCCGAAGCATCAGCACCTCTGCTTATTTGCTCGCTCTTCCTTTTCAGACATTCATGTCTCAAACAGGCTGTTTTCATTGCAGCTATTTTGACATACAGAAGGAAGATGACACAGCTGTCAAGGGGAAATTTTGGGTTCAGCATCTTGCCCAAAGACACTCCACCGTGCAGAATGGAGGAGACTGGGATCAAACTGCTGACCTTCTGGTAAGTGGACGACCAGCTGAATCTCCTGAGCCTCACCCTGCTGTAAAGCAAATCTGAAAACTGTGACATGTCCCATGCGAGGTCTAAACACTTTCAGTCCACTACATAGTGAGTATGGGTTAGTGGTGATTTCGGACACAGCCCATGTTCTAAGCAACCTTTTTCTCAACCCTGCATAAAGCAGAACGGAGCCTTGTGAGAAATAGATGTACCAAAGAGGTTTTCCTCTCAACTCCAGGACTGTTTTGAATGTACTTTTACATTTAAGCACCTGTTTTAATACCATTTTTATTCAATTGAATGCTTGTGTTCTTTATAATAATTTATTAGACTGTTATTATGTCTGTATGTTGCTTTCTGTACCAATGGGATACTGAATTTCACATAAGTCAGGGCCATAGTTTAACTTTTTTCTTGGTTCTAAGGGACCCTGTAATATATTTCATGTTATGGTTTTGGACAAAACTGACATGAAAATCTAAAAACAGAGCACCTGTCCTTAGTCTAGCATAAAAGTATATGGTAGTATAATTTTCATTTGAGCCTGGACCATGTGTCACATGTAATGAGTCCTGGTGGTCTGCAGACTCCACTTTAAGAGCCATCAATCCATTATTTATGTCATGGTGCAACGGGGAGCGGCACCAAATCCCAATCCAATTTCGGAAAGAGGCGGGGTCCCTAGACAGGTTGCCCGGTCATTATAGCCGACATATAAAAAGAAAAAACACCATTCACACTCATGCCTATGGTCGATTTAGGGTCTCCGATTAACCTATACCCCATTTGAAGCTCTTTGGACTGTGGGGTTGAAACTGTAGTACCTGGAGAAAATCCATGCAGACACAAGGAGAAAATCCACACAGAAAGTCCCTGACCGAACCGGGATTCAAACCAAGAACCTACTTGCTGTGAAGCTAATATTATAAAATACCTCTGTTCATTTTGCTGATACATTTCCTGATGTATGGTTCCAAATTGAGCTTTAGATAAATGGGAGTTGTAGCCAGACACATTACACAGAGGAAGGGTCGGAAACTGAAGGCAGTAACACAGAAAAGATAAAGACGTCACAATAATAGATAATAAATGCAGCTGTCAACTAATGTAAACAGATTATTTTAACAGCGATTGAATTCTCCTCAGTAACTGACTTTTCTTTCAACTCATGAACTTCTGCTTTGACAAAGAACACTGAGGCAGAGAAACAATTACAGCTTTTAAGCATATAACAAGCTTTTAGGCCCATAACGTATACATTCTTTTTGCAGCTGGTGAGTTTTATATGGAATATACTTATTAACAGTCTCAGAAGAGGTGGGACGATTTTTTGAATCATTCCAGGCTCCGCTCTGGCTCTCTGTCTCCTTTACACTGTGTTCCACTGGGTGTGTTCTTCAGGGTCACATGGGGTGTACATTGTCCCAGGTGGTTGCCTGTAAGGAGTTGTCCGGGGCAGCAGAGGGGTCGCCCTGGGTGACGGCGAGGGTGGCCTGCTCTGGGAGGAGGCTGGGGTCTGTCAGGATGGCCGTGGTGGTGCTCAGTTGGCGGAGTGATCTCAGAACCACTGATGAGACATGACAAAGACAACTTTCAGATATGGAGAAAGGAAAACACATGGAGGGATGGCATTATGATCAAACTGTTGGTTGAAAATATTGGTTTTACATCACGACTGGACTTACTGGGTCTTAGGGAAGGCAGGGTGCAGTGCTGGTCCAGCCAGGACAGGGTGGATCTATAGAGGTCCTCGGCGCTGGCAGTGGACACCATTGCATTATAGGACTCGAACAGCGGCTCTATGATGACACTGAACTGATGCTGAGTTAAGGAAGGGCCCATAGAAAATGTGAATTCAAGATAAGTGTTAAATAGTGTTTGAATCTAAATATAAAGCTTAATTCCTCCAAAAAAGAATAAAGCCAACAATCTCAATATGTTTTGACTTGGTACTCAATTCTCACTGGTTCTTACTGCAGACATAAATCTTTAAAATAATCTCATAAAAATATAGTTTCATTAAAAAAACTATTCCACTATTTCCAGATTGATACACATTTGGTGCAGTAGGTGCAGCAGCAGATTTGTGAATGTGGATCAAATAAACTACAGGGACCATAGTCCGGAACATGTTCAGTGCAATGATGTGGCTCACTGATGCATTTAAACATTTTTACCTCAACATTGTTCGTCTATTAGTAATTTAGTATTGAACAGAAACTACTGGATGGATTACCACATAACTTGGTGGAAGGATGCAGTATGGGTCAGACAAGAACCCGTTCACTCCAGGGTGTTTTTGTCATCTCTAACAATTTATAACAATTGGATACTGATAAAATCTGGACAATTTAGGGAACTGATTTCTATGAGTGTGTATACTTTGATGTGGCCTTATTGTATTACAGGGAGCTGTTAGGCCTGGCGGGGCTATATGCTCTTCTGAGTGATCCCCCAGTTTTGTATTAATATTAATATAATGTTGGTTGTGGTCTTTTCATGTGATTAAAACAAGGAGCTGGTAAATGTTGCTTATCTTGAATCTGAGAGAAAGCATCCTCTTGGAAAACCTTTGTATTTAAATAAGGACACTTTAAGAGCAGATCAAGAGAAAAGCACAATCTCCAAAGGAACCATCAGGAAATATATTAATATTCATGGAGAAGAAACCCCCTCGAGGTGTTTTTGTGCAACACACAAACATGATAAAATCATTATCTAATCTTCTAATCTTGCCTCCAAGATGAGGGCAGCAGTAATGGATTAGGTGATCACTAAGAGAAGAGTTATGTATTACATTTACATAATAATTTTTTAAACCAACGCACACAGTTGTTTTATCTCCCTGACAAGGCCTGGAATGATCATGTGCTTTGTCTGAATTAAAACTTCACTGAAATAATAAAACCCAAGTTTGGATATTTACCATTCAGTATGTACCGGACCAAAGGCTAAATTTAAGAGGAGATTTTCCCTGCCATAATTTAATTTATAAACACTATCTTTCTCAGTATCTGTCCAGGTTGGAACAATACTCAGTGTAATAAGCTCATTTGGATTCTTGGATAAAGGTTTTAGGGAACGAGACATAATTTGAAATTCCTCCAAAAGACTGACGAAGCCAAATCAAATGCTGCAGCCAACTACAGTACTGAAACATAAGATGCTCAGGCAGGAACAGAGGGGTACATTTAGTACACAGCGCTTAATTATACTGCTGAATTAGTTTTATGCAGATTAGGTAAGTTTTTAAAGTCATGTCTGTTTTAATTAACTTGCAGATTTACATTCACAGGGATACGATCCAGAACTTCCAGTTTTGCAGAGTCTGCACCCGGACGTACTCTCTGAACTTCTGCCGCATGTGGTCGAAGCGCTGCCGTGTGATGGGCACGCCGGTGGCTGGTAGCTGCTGCTGACATGCACTGCACGGACACACACACACACACACACACACAAACACACACACACACACACACACACACACACACACACACACACAGTGAGTCAACAGCCCCCGTACCACAACAGACACACACTGTTCAGGATGCATTAGACGAACATATCTGTAACACGACTAGTGAATTTCATTATCACTTTCTTCTAGCAGTTGTAATGACTTCAGCTGATCATTAATTTATATCACATGAATATAAAACAATGCTTCTATTCGACAGAGTAATAGGGCCGCTTAAGGAGAAAAAGAAATCAGAGATTTTTAAATTAAAATTGTAATATTACAAGAATAAAGTCATAACTTCAAGCTATATGTCATGTTAGATGGAGAGCTCAGCCTGTTGTCTGTGTTAAACGGAGGAATGTGGAGCATCCTGTCTCATTGTACTTTGGTATAAGTTTCACATATAACAAAATATCTTTTGTCACAACAGCATCACATTTCATTTCAAGTATCAGGTCTTAGAAAAGATTGTGTAAGAAACGGAGTATTCTGCAAAAGGAACCAGGAGGACATTGCCTCATGAATCTCCGGCGAGCTCTCCCTGCAGCTTTCTCCCAAAAATGTATTTTACTTTATTCTTGAAATGTTATTT